GCGGGTGCAGACGCCCCGCTGAGGACTAGCCCCTCTCCAGCCACAGTGGCTGCGGGAGATGCGCCTGTCAGAGCCTCTGTCTCTGGCCTGAAGCTTTCTGTGGCCCGGACACTGGAAGGGCGGGGGGAGATGGGGAAGGGCCGCACTTCGGAAGTTGGAGGTTTCTCTGGCACCATAAAGAAGAGTATTTTAAAATCGTTTCTACCTAGTAAACAAGAGATCGTGGTTCAGCTCCCAGTGGTGCCTCTCTGTGGCCTTCGCTCTTCTCCGTTCACCTTTTCTAATAACCTGCGAGGAAACAGAAGAGGCCTCCTCTGGCCCCTCAAGAAATGGCTTGTCCAGGAAAAGGCTGATTGGAGAGGAGCATTGGGCAGAATGAACCCACGAGCCTGGAGCTGGTGAGGAGGCTGCTGGGACTGGCATTGACAAGGCAGATGCTCTGATTGCAAGTCCTGGGACAGGAGCCCCAGAGCCCCACGCCCTTGTGATGCCCTGGAGATGTCAACGCCCTGAGAGCGCAGCATCTGCCGATAGGGCAGCAATGGAGAGTTACTTTCCTCCACCCTCATTTTTATGGTCAATAGCAAAACGTGGAGCATTTCACACAGGCCTGGGCAAAACACCCTTGGCGGGCGGAATCCTCCCCCCCCAACCACTGGGTCTGGCCCGCCAATGGAGCAGGGAGGCTCAAAAAATCCCCGCCTTCCCCGCTCAAGCACCAAAGGTGCCACCGGGTGCTACTGCCCCGGACACACACCGGGCGGGGGATCGGTCTGAGCTGAGACCAAACCTGCCCCCCAAAGGGCCAGGCGGCGGCGCCCTGGTTCTGCAACGAGACCAAATCCAAAGTGTCTCTCCGATCGCCCCGCTGGGATGGGGTAAGACTTGATGACCTTTCTAGGGCCCTTCCGGTGCTAGTGTTCTAGGAATCTATGGTCCTATTTTTATTTGTAGTATCACTATTATTATCATGGGTATTATGGTAGGGCCTATTGTGTGGAAGTCTGACCTGGCTCCATTTATGCAGCATCCAGCGCGCGCGCACACACACACAGACAGCCGCTGCCTGAATGCGATACACATCGAATAGCTGAGAATGACAAAAGATGTAATTATTCATGTATAACAAATGGGGAAACTGAGGCACAAAGCAATTTAGTGACACACTCAAGGGCAAGCAGAGATTCCTCTGCCCAGACGGGACTTGAAACCAGATTCCCTGTAGGACAAGCCTTTGTCTTAGTCACAACATAACATTCTGCAAATAATTCCCATGGCCTAGTCAACTGTACTGGCGTTGAACAGATAGTTTTCAGTTACTAATCACTATAACCACCAGCTGTCCCTGATTTTGCTTCTAGGGCAACCCAGTGCCCAGAGATTGGAGATCAAAGGAGGTGCCCTATTGAGCATTAGCAGACACCTCGATTTTAAAATCGATGTGCACCGTGTGTGAACCGACCTTCTATTCCCGGTTTGCTTTTCCCAGGCACCAGAGTCTGGGCTTGTGGCTCTTTAGACATTGGCTCCCAGGCCAGTGCAAAGACACCAGCAGGCAGACTCCGGCAGCCCCCTGCAGTGCACGACTGTAGATTTAGCTGAACAAGAGCTCCCACTACAAAACTGGGGCCACACAGCTCAAGTGACCCTGGGACACACAAGGGAACATTTCTAAGTAGGAGAGAGGCGGTTGAATACTCTGCCCGGGTCTGGCTGCACAACTCAAGCCAGGGGCGGATAGCTTGGAGAAGATGCACACAGCAGCCATGAGGATCCTGGCAGTGGAAATCCTGCCCTATAATGATGGATGGAAAGAGTTGGAGCTCTACAGATCTGTGCTATGAGGCTGAGATTTTCAGAGACCTCTACAAAGTTTGTGATTCTTCTAGTTCCGATTCATTCTAGTGCAAACTGTCCCTCGGGCAGCATTGAAAATGTCAGCCTGACAGCTCAGGATTGTAGAAGCATTCCTATGGCAGATAGAGCTCCAGAGAGATACATGGGGCTGTGTGGGGCTGGGTGAAGGGAGAGTCACTGAGGCACCATGTCGATGTATTTATAGGTGGGTTTGCAAACAGACTCACATTCTACACCTGCTGCACATCAACCGGCAGCCCTCTGACCCCCGCTAAGTTTTTTCAGAGCCGCTTTCACCTCCTTGTTGCGCAGCGTGTAGATGGCCGGGTTCAGCATGGGCATGACCAGGTTGCTAAAAATGTTCACAGGGGTCACCAGCACTTTGCTCAGCTGTGGCTGGGTGCAGATCAAAGCGGAGGGCCCGAAGAACATGGTCACCACCACCAGATGGGAGGCGCAAGTGGAGGCCGCTTTGCGCCTCCCTTCACCTGTGTTCATCTTCAGGATGCAGGAGATGATCCTGATGTAGGAGGTGTGATGGCGCGTTGGGGGTCCCCTGTCTCCTGCACCCCGAAATGGCACCAACAGACCGCACCAGCCGGTGGAATAGAGGAAGTTTATTGCCTCTCCAGGATACAGCACAGCACAGATGTAATCTGGTCACAGAGCTGGGCTAGGATGCCTCAGGCCCCCTTGAGTTGGGGGGAGACTGGGCCCCTAAACTCCAGCTCCTCTCCCTAGGCTGTCTCCTCCATCCTCACAGACAG